AATGTATGCAATGTGTTAATTATTGAAACTGTCCTACCAATTTGATTTGAAACTGTCTCACTGCTATTTGTTTCTCAATAAAATTATGGGAAAAAAAAAAAGGACACAAACAGAAACAAGAGAAACTTAAACCATACCATAATTTCTGAAGACTAGTTTCCAGGCATACAGATAACAAGGTACTGAATTTCAGAATACCTGAGATAAAACTAAGACCAGACTTTCAATAGTAACAAGTCTGTCACTCTAACAGAATATCAGAAACAGTGAATGGCATCAAAGATGCTGAAGCATCTTCAACTTCTTTTATGAATGTACTTGAAATAAGTGTTTTTTAAAAATACCCAGATATGCTTGAGTTTATATTATTTGCCATCTAAAAACAAAAACTGTACCAGTGAATAGTATTAACAGCTTTTTTATAAGGCACTTTACCTCCCCCTTTAACAGAGTCCTTAAATCACTGGAGTGGGAGGGCACAGGGTCTTCTTTTGTAGCCTAGGCTGGCCTCGAACTCATTCACGTTCCTCCGCCTCAGTAGCTCAGAACGCTGGGATTTCAGGCACGTGCGCGGACTACAGCCATGTACCTCAAGGCCCTGCTCCCTTAAATCCACTTAATGACGTTTTTATTGACTTAACCAAAAAAGGGTGGAAACCACTATTTTTCAAAGTATAACTACGTTTATATACATATATATAAGTATATAAAATAGAATTTAAGTCTATGAAGAAAAAAAAAAAACTACGTTTATGCTGCAAGTAAAAAAATTCCTAGTTTCTTTTTTGGGAAGGCGACTGACCAGGGCTCGCTGCCGGATGCTGAAGAAAATAAACCCGCCAGACTTCAGCGGAGAGCGGTCTGCGTAAAGCCTGCCGGGTTACAACGCTAACAAGCAACACCTTCGCTACTCTTCATGTCCCTGATCTAAAGTCCCTGCGTTGTCAGAAATCTTCACATTTGATCCTCCAGCAAATAAGCTCTATTAAGAGCTGCATCTGCAGCCCCTCGGTGTCTGACCTCTAGGGCTAAAACCCAGGCAAAAGACGAAACGGCTCGCTTTCAACCGCGACAGTTCGGAGCCTCAGCCCACCGCAGCCCCTCGCCCGCAAAAAACCCTCGATTTTTGGACCAAAAACTCTCAGCCGAGCCAGTGGTCCCGAGAGTCAACCACCTCCCCGGGGCTCTCCGGCTCCAACGGGAACAGTTACCTGTGGAGTATCCGCTGCTCGGCCACCAGGCACCGCTCCAGCCCGCGTCCTCGCCCCTTTGGGTCCCTCCCCGCGCCCTCCCTTCCCGGGTGAACTTTAGCAGCGCGTTCGGCTTATCTGCCAGCCCTGGCGCCAGAGGAGCGCGCTCCCCGGGGATGCGAGCCGCTGGGCGGAGCGCGGCGCCGGGCGGCCAGCGAGAGACTGTCGCGGACCCCGGCGACCCTCGAGGCTCCCCTCCGCCCGTCCCCGGAGCCAGGCGAGCGGTGGCCTCCGGGGGACGTGAGGAATTCGGTCCCCTCGCGCACTCGCGCCAGCCGCCCCCCGGCCCCGCCGGGTCCCGCCGCTCCAGTACCATCCTCCTCACGGGGCAGACTCCGGAAGGGCCGCGACTCCACCTCCGTCTCCTCCGCGGCCTGCAGCCATCTATCGGGAAGCGTCTCCGGAGGCGGCAGCAGTGGCCGCCGGACGAGGACAGCCCAGGGAAACCCTCTCAGCACTAACTCAGCTCCGGCGCTAGCAGCAGAACTCGAGTCTTTCATAATTGTGCGACCAACTCCGCCGGGTGACTGGCCACAGGGACGCGCCCGCGCCCGCCTCCGCCGGCGACGGGGCTGAAGACGGACCACGTGAGGGGCGCGTCGGCAGCGTCGCCGCCCGCAGAGGGTCACGTGATCGGCGCTCACCGCCCCCCACCGCCCCGCCGCGGTCTTGACGCGCCTGCGCAAGCGCGCCGCCGGCTTCCGGGCCACCCGCGCATGCGTCTGCCGGGCCGGGTGGGATTCCCGGGGAGCCGCTCGGAGGGGTGGCTTGGTGTTACCTGGGGTGTGTAGACTGAGCCCGCCGTGGCCTCCGGCTCTTGCCCGCGCGTCATAAGGGAGCAAGGCTTTAACCATGATTCTCCTGGTCCAAAATGGAAAATTACCTCTTCTCTCCAAAGCACGCTCTTCCCTTAGCTTTCTTTTCTGTTAGTTCACACATTCTTCGTTGAACAACTACCTGTATAAGACGCTGCGCATTGCTACGGAGGTGCGCTGCTGGGTGTTACTGCGGACCTTTTTTGTAGGTACAGTTCTGTACACCTTGTTGGTAGAGCTGCAGAATCTTCTTTGTAGCGTACACCGTGCTTATACAGTACTGTGATGTTTGCTGATGGTACTGCCCAGTACAGTCCTGCGGTTTTATGTTCTGTTATACATTACAGTGCTGCATGTAAGTTATGCACATAAAAGCCAGGTCATCACCGTGGACTTTCCTCTGACTATTTCGTTCTTCCGAATATTGTAACTGATACACTATATACACTACTTCATTTAGCAACCCCCTGACAATGACCTAGTCGCAGGAGTGGCACTTGCTAAAGGAGTCTGTAAAAATTCCTCTGGTTTCGAGCAGACAGGTGCATACCGTACACCCCAGACTGGGACGAGCCTGCCTTTCCTTTCACACCGGTCCCCACTGATTGTTGGAGTCTACCAGATGTTATTCTTCCTTCTCTGCTCTGAAGTCTGAGGCAGTTTGACTTTTTAAAAAACTGTTTTTCGCTGAGGATATAACTTAGCAGCACAGCGCTTGCCTGGCAAGCTCAAGGCCCGCCTGAACTGCAGACACCCTGTCTCAAAAAGACCAAAAAATAAACTGCTTTTCACGCATCACCTTTCTGAGACTTGGCAGTTTCTAAATCTACCCTTCTGGGATCTTTCTCTTACCTCTTTTTTTTAAACATAGCTTTCCTGGAGAAAAGCTGACATGGGATAACCTGCACTGTGTGTGTGTGTGTGTGTGTGTGTGTGCGCGCGCGCGCGCGCACGCATGTGTGCACACGTATGTGTGTACTGGGGATTGAACGAAGGATTCTGAGATACATTCCCAGCCCTCCTCCTCCTTTTCATTTTAAGACAGGGTCTCATTAAATCATTTAAATTGCCCAACTTGGGCTCAACCTGTTGATCCTTCTACTTTAGCCTCCCAGAGTGCTGGGATCACAGGCATGCTCCATCAAGTGCAGCCCCTGCACATATTTAAGTGTACGATTTGGTAACTTTTGTCTTATGTACATACCCACGCAGTCATCTCCACAATCAACATAGTGAACACATTCGCCCCAAAGTTTCCCACCACCCTTTATAATCACTCCACTGTGTCTCTCCCCATCATTTCTCTGAGCAACCTCAGCTGTCCTTTAGTATCCACAAAACATGGGTTCCGAGACTCCACATACCCCATATGCATGTCAGTGTGCTCAACTCTTCCATATAGAATGGCATATTATTTATATATGGCATATGCACATCATCTTGTATAATTTCTTCAAATTATCCCTAGGTTACATCTAATACTTACCCAATAGAATGTAGAGCTTATGTAAATAGTCATTAAACTGTATTTTTAGCGAATAATGATATGAGAAAAAGGGCCGTACACATATAAAATTTTCCCTGCATATTTTTATCTTTGTTTGGTCAGCCAACATATGTGAAACCCATGGATGAGAAGGTTCTCCTCCCTGAACAGCTTTCTGTGAGTCTTCACATGCTAAGGTTTATGTATGGGAATCATACAACAAGTACAGACTTGGGGTTGGGGTCTGGCTTCTTTCATGTTGCATAATTACTACGTCTTAAACACTATGACCCACAGTTCAGCAAAGTAGGATCTTATCTTTGACAGACTGAGTCAACCACTATTTCCCTAGCAAGTTTTGGCCACACTTGCAGACAATCTCCAGGCAATCTTCAGGAAGTAGGTGTTCCTTCCCACTCAGGCAACACTACCAGAACCAAAGTCTAAAAATGTTTTGACATGTGAGACATCTAGGGCAATAAGGAAAGAGAAAGAGGTAAAAGGGATATGCATATGAAAGGAGATAGTCAAATTATCATTATTTGCAGACAACATGATCCCTACATAGAAAATCCAAAAACTTCCACCAAGGACTGTTAGTATTAATAACCAAATTCCCCTGGGGGCAGCAGTGTGGAGTGCCCTAAGGTGACATTTCCCATCCTATGCCCTAATCTAATTCCCAGTCAATAAGAATCTAAAAAATTCACCACTGTAGCAGGATGCAGTACCAACACAAAATAAATTGCATTCCTGTACACCAATAATGAGCTCACTGAGAAAAGAAATGAAGAAAACAATACTATTAATATGGAATGAGAAGAGCCGCAGAATAACAAAAACAATTCTGGGTAGCGAAGGCAAAGCAGAAGACGTCATAATCCCAGGCTTCAAGTCATACTATAAAGCAACAATTATAAAAACTGCATGTTGCTCCCAATGAAGACAGACACGTGAAGCAATGGGACAGCATAAGAATGCAGACCCAACCCCAGATACGCCCAGCTATCTGATTGTTGACAAAAGGGTAAAAAACATACAGTGGAGGAACGATAGTCCCTTTAGTAAACAGTGCTAGAGCCGGCATAGTGGTGCTCGACTGCAATCCCAGCACTCAGGAGGATCACCGTGACTTCTAGGCCAGCATGGGCTCCACAGTAAGTTCCAGGCCAGCTTGAACCACACAATGAGACTCTCAATAAACAATGCTAAGAAATCTGGCTAGCCACATGCAGAAGATTGACTCCAGACCCATGTCGCTCACCATGTTCTGAACTAAAACAAAAAATGGATCAAAGATCTAAATGTGACAACAGAAACATTGAATCTGCTCTAAGATAAAACAGGTAAAACTCTTCAACATGTAGACATAATCAAGGAGGACTTTCTGAATAAAACCTCGGTACAGAAGCAATAAATAAAAGACAAATGGGATCATGTCAAATTAATAGGCATAGAGACAGCCTCCTGAACGGGAACGCTTTCTGCCATCTAGTTCTCAGAGGATTGCTATCTGGAATATACTGAGAACTCAAAAAAATTCAAACCCACAAAACAAAAGTGTCACAAGTAGACAGCTAAAATAGACAGACACGTCTCAGAATAAGTACAAAACGGCCGATAAATCCAGAGCTGTACATGAAACAAATGTGCAACACCTCTATCCATTAGAGAAACAAAAATTAAAACAAGCCGGAAATTCCATCTTCCCTCAGAATGATTAGCTATCATCAAAAACATCAAATTAGGGGGCCAGGGAGATAGCTCAGTAGAATAAGCGCTTGCCTGGCAAGGACAAGGGCCTGAGTTCAATCCCCAGTTCTGCCAAAAAAAAAAAAAAAAAAAAAAACCATCAAATTAGAACAAATGCTGGTGAGATCTCAAGAGGAAAAGAAATCCATCAGTACTGATAGTGGTAATATAAACCAGTACAATCACTATGCAAATGAGACTGGAGATTCTTCCAAAACCAAAACTGGAAACTTCTAGTTAAGGCAGCTATTCTCCTTTTAGTTGTCCTCCCAAAGAGTTAAGGACATCATATTACAGCAATATCTGGTATACCTGTGTTTATTAAAGCACAATTCATAGTAGGTAAACCTTGGGCATGGCCTATCTGTCCATCAACAGAAGAACAGATCCAGAAAATACATTTATGCATGCTGGAGTACGACTCTTCCCTCTAGAAGGACAAACTTGCGTCATTTATAGGATCATGAGAGGCTGGGCATGGTGGCGCACACCTGTAACCCCAGCACTCTGGAGGCAGAGGCAGGAGGATCCTTGTGAGTTTGAGACCAGCCTGGGCTACAAAATGAGCTTAAGGCCAACCTAATCTGCATAGTGAGACCCTGTCTCAAAAAGACTAAATAAATAAATAAATGAACTTGGGTGTACATTGAGACCATAATGTTAAGAAAAATAAATCAGATGTATGAGTTTAAATATCTCATATAAATATCTCTTACATGAGAAGTATGAAATATAAATAAAGAGCAACATGATATATAGATAATAGGAAACAGGGAAGTAGATCTTTTGCAAAAGGGAAGAGAATCAATATATGGAGGACAGAATGGAAACAAAGAATTGAGTCACATTATGTACAGGCACCAGCTCCCAAGAGGGAGGGTTATCACCATATACAGCAGACATGGACTAATAAAAGATAAAACTGCTGGAACCGGGGATTGAACTCAGGCCCTTGCAACGTGCCGGGAAGCGCTTACTCTACTGAGCCATCTCCCCCATAAAAGATAAAATTGGAAAAAAAAAAGACACAGCCTCTTAGATTTCCAGCCCCTTGGGGCAGAGACCTTGACTAATTTGTATGTGCATTTAATGAATGCTTATCTTCTTAATTTCAACTGGGCCTACACATTCCCTGCCTTTAGGCAATTTATAACCTAGAAAGTAGAGAGGAACCCCAGAATCAAAATATAATGAGAAGGCTGGGTGTGGTGGTGCATGCCTATAATCCCAACACTCAGGGGCCTGAGGCAGGAAGATTCTTGTGAGTTCAAGACCAGCCTGGGCTACAAAGTGAGCTCAAGACCAACCTGAACTACACAATGAGACCCTGCCTCAAAAAGACAAAATAAAATAAAAATTTAAAACAATAATGTGAATGAAGATAGTTGAGGGCAAGAGGAAAAAACAAACTGAGAGGATACAGCCAGAAGGGAAGAACAAGAGGAGAAAAATGTAGAAGACTAGCCTGAACTGCATAGTGAGACCCAGTCTAAAAAAGACAAAAAAAAAAACAAAAAAAAAAAACCTTGCAGAAATGTCATAACATAGCCTTCAAGTGTATAGAGTGGGGGCCAGGAGATGGCTCAGTAGAATAAGCACTTCCCTGGCAAGCACAAGGGCCTGAGTTCAATCCACAGTTCCGCAAAAAAATAAATAAATAAAGTATATAGAGGGAACTTAGGCAGAGCTACAAGAGAAAGTAACACCTGGCATAATCAGAGGAAAATGGAGAGCATGACTTTTACTAACTGAACTAATCAAAATAAATTCCCTAATTTTCAGATGACCAGACAGCCTTGGCGTGTACGTGCTCACCATCAGTCCTCTGAAGAGCGAACTTATTCCCTCAAGACATGCCCCCTGAGTGTCTGGGTACACGTCAGGAGTCGCTGCGATCAGGGCTCGGCCACCAGCAAGATGGACAAAGCCGGGGGTTCAGAAAGCTCCGGGTCAGTGCTCCTCTCCTGCCTGTCCCCTCAGGGCTCTTTCCACTTGGTGCCGGCTTCACTCTCCCTGCTGCCCTTGCCCAGGCATTTACAATTCAGCAATATTTATCACGGGCTGTATCTAAAGCACGAAGCAAAGTGGGGTCAGATCAAGATCAACGGCTAAAAGGCGAGGTGGTGCGGCGACTCTTCGCATTTCCAGCTCCCAGCCTAGCGTGTGCAGCATCAGCCTCCAAGGAGCAAAAAGGTTTTGTTGGGGACGGGGACGGTTTCTCTTTCATGCACAGTGCAGAGACATGCATAGCACGCATAAGCTGACCTCAGGTGTGCGCGATTGAAGGTGTGTTCTCCCCAGGGGTCTGCGTGTGGAGGCCGGGTCCCCAGGGTGGCAGTGCTGGGGGCGGACCTCATCCCCTCTGGGTATCCTTCCAGAACTGAGGAAACAGCCTTCAGGAGGGCTTGGTGGTCTCCCTGGGAGTGAGCTCTCCAAAGAACAAGTTGTTATCGAAGCCTGAGCCTGACCCCGACTCGCTCTCTCTGCTTCCAATGTCAAGATGTGA